GTATCATTTCTCATTAAATATCCTACGAATTTTTCAAATAATTTTCAAATATATTCAGATATTTGAGAATCAAAAAAATCCAATATACAAATATATTCGTATAAATTTGCGAATTTATCCGAATTTTTTCTAAACCAAAAAATATCTGGATATATTTGCTCCCAAAAATTTCCTGATGTGGTAAATATATTCGGATATATTTGAGAATCGAAAAAATCTGAATATATGCGAATATATTCACATAAATTCACAAATTTATTTGGATTTTTTCTAAATCGAAAAATATCCGGATATATTTGTTCCGAATATTTGAGAATCAAAAAAATCTGAATAAATTCGTAAATTTATGCAAATATATTTACATATATTCGAATTTTTTCGATTCTCAAATATATCCAGATATATTTGCAACCAAAAATTTTCTGATGTATAATATTTTTTTTTAAAACTAAAATAACTTGTAAATATTAATGTTACTGGAATAAATCATATATTATTTCTTAGAAATAGATTAGTAAAAAAATATTTTACAATTAGAAAATTGTAAGTAAAATTAAAAAAATATAAAAAAAAATAAAAAAATTTTTGAAAATTTTTATTTTTTTTAATTTTATTCACAATTTTCTAATTTTTTATTAAACTATTTTTAAGATAAAAAGAAAGATCTTGTTTTTGATTACAAAATTATGTAATTCATCCCAGTAGTATCAATATTTCATCAGTAAATTTTAATAAGTAAAAATTTCCAGAAATTTTTATCACATAAATTTCTGTCATATTACAGGACCCACAGAAATTTTTGAAAATATTATGGAATTCTAACATTGATGTAAAATTCTGAAATTTTTTTACGTAATATAATTTTAAAAATTTTTGGTATAATAAATTTCTGTAATTTAGATATTTCAAAATATTTTTAATGCCTTTCAAAATAATCTGTTTATTTTTGTTTTAATTTTTTTCAAAATTTTTAAATTTTCAAATTTTTTATTATATTTTTTATAAATTTTCACAAAACATTATATATATGCATCAGGAAATTTTCATATAAATAAAGCTTTGCAAATATAAATAAAAAAAATTATAAAGAAAGATACAGTATAAATTTTCGAAAAATTTTTAAAACATTAAACTTTTAGAAATTTTTGAATAAATATTTTCATAAAAATTACAAAAATTTTTAAAAATTTTTTAAAGCATTAAAATTATGGAAGAAAACACCCGTAATATTATGGAATTTTCATATTTCAATAATTTTCAAAAATTTTCAAAAATTTCTGTAATATTACACAAAAAATTACAGAAATTTAATACTGTGTCAAATTATAGAATATTATACCTGAAAAATTTTCTGATGTAAAGATAATAAAGATAATGAAGGTGACGACAATGATGATGATGATGACAACAATGATGATGATGACGATAATGATAATAATGATAATAACAATGATAACTAATGACAACGATGAAGAAGATAAAGATGATAAAGAATAATAAAACAAAATATATATAATAATGTATATAATTATATAAAATATTCTGAAAATTTATATAATAGAATATTTCAAAAATTTATTAATTATATAGAATATTCTGAAAATTTATGTAATAGAATATTCTAAAAATTTATTAAATTAATGGATTGGATTTACAGTTTTGTACTTAATTAAGTACATTTTGTAAAATTCATAGCAAAACCAAAACTTAATAAAATTAAATAATTTTAATATTTAAGAATCAATATATATCACTTTATTCAAAAATATAATTATTATTTTTATTTATAATGCAAATGACAAAAAAAAATAATTTTAGGATCTGTTATTTTTTTGCAAATATGAGTGTACTTAATTAAGTATATAGTTAATTATCATCAGGAGATTCACTGTAAAAGAAAATTAAAATGTACTTTTAGAAAATAATATAATAAACCTTGGACAATGAATAAAAAAAATTTCTAACCCTGTTAAAACTGTAGTATATACCTGCCACCCAAATTCAAAATCCAAATGCCGAAATCCCAAATACCGAAATCCCAAATCTCAAATCCCAAATTATGATTAGTATTTTTTGCCGAAATCCCAAATCCCAAATCCCAAATACTAGTAATTTGGGATTTTGGCGTCCCAAATTCCAAATGATTTGGGATTTGGGCAACACGTATACTGTAGTATATGTTAAATGGATATGCCCGGTCCAACAATCTAAGCACATTTCTTGTGAAACTGTACAGCTACAACAGGTATAAGTACGTTTACTACAACCTTTGCATCGGTGTTGAACATATTTGCTTTTGAGTTTTGAGATTGTGAGGTCACTATTAAAGTTGATAAGATGATGTTCAAAATTATCCGTATCTTTTTTTCGTCTTTTTTTAGCTCGATCGGTGATTGTTTGGTCAGAATAACACTCAAAGATCAATCTTACTAGTTGCTTATAAAAATTAACGTATTTCATGTCTTTCTTTCCTGGTACAAACTGACAATATGCAGAGAAGCTATTTGCTTCTACAACCAAAAGGTAAAAGGTAAAAATACGATCTACAGAACATTTTGAGACAAAAACATCATGATATGAAAGAGCATTATTACGTAAATTATTTAATATGTCTACGGCTGACCTGAATTCATTGTATTCATCAAATACAACAGGCTGACAGAATTTTACATCACCAGAATCCTTAATATACCGATTCACTTCTGTCCCAAGAGTAGTTGTAGAGTAACTGGAAAGCAGTATAATATTTTTTTGGTCACGAATTGAACATACGGCTAAATCAACATTATTTATTTTGCAAGTTTGACTAATGGATGATCTATAAGTATCTTCACGAGCACCGGTAATATCATGGGGAATATTTCTGGACCAGTAACGACGCTTCTTTATTTGTAGAATAGAATAAAGACCATAATTATATAAAGAAATGTATGCGTTGGTGCTATCAAACCATGAATCAACGATAACTGTTCTACCACTACGAAACCATGGTTCTACTAATCTTAACATAGATGTGACAGTTGCCGGGTATTGATCCTAAAATTTTTTTTTGATAGCACATTCCAAAAGTTCTGCTGGGTCTAGTCTTAAAAACAAATTAATTTGAGCATCTGCAAGGGCTTTGAATTCACATCCAATAGGATTTGGTTTCCTTGGAATTTTTCGTTGGAACGGGCCTTTATCAACTTTGCCCATCTATTGACATATTGATTCATCCATATAAAGGTAAGGACTAAGTAGAATAGCTTTCATAAGATTTTCATTAAATGCGTCGTGAAACTGCTGTGCAAAGTGAAAGGGATTATCATTTTCTCATGCATCTGTTAATTTCAAATATTTTATAATATTTTGAAATTGTTGATGTGCCATATATTAACCAAATGCCAATGAAACCCCTGCTGTTTCTTGTTTAATGGACCAATAATCACAAATATCAGCACATTTTACATATGTTATAATTGTTAAAATATCAATAAACTTCATAAATTCCACCCATGTTAAATCATTCCACCCATGTTCACATTCATGCGCACATCTATTTGTAGCGGGAATTACTACTGACATTATAAAATCAATAGGCATAAAATTTTGAAGAACAGTTTGGGTGTTGCGTTAGAAATATCAGCAATATGTACAACTGGTGAACTGAAATAGGAGTGTGACACTTGATGAGGATCAATAGTAATAATTTTATTAATTCATAGTGTATTATTATTTGCATTATGAATTGCTGCCTCATCCTCAACACTATCACTATCAGTATCACTTGAAATGTCCGTTTTGCACCTTGTTTTCTCTTTGTTACTTATATTTTGATTAGTGTCTGCACTAATAGGAAAATCTACAAACTTTATACGACCTGCTGAGACTTCAATCTCTATTTCTGTTTGTGATTCAGGACAAATTATCCAACAGGTATTTCCTGGTGCTACTCGTAAAACTGTTGCAAAAAGTCATTTGGTCTTTCATAATTCTCCCAAAAGCAGTATTACCCTTGGTTTTCTTCCGATTAAATAGTTATATTATTTTTCTTACTTTATTATTATATCTTATATTTTTAATATTATTTATTATTTATTTGTATTATTTAGTTATTTGGTTATATATAGTTATATTATTATTAGTATATTGTATTAGAGATATTACACTAAGTAGATCAATTAATGTAGCGATCTGTTACACTGTCAAAGATATTGTCAAAATTAATGTCAAGATCAGTATCAAGGTTACTGTCAAGAACATTGGCAGAAACACTATCAAGAATATTGACAGGAACACTGACAAAATTATTAGTTATATAAAGGGTGAGTTTTTCTTTCATCCAAAGTAGAGATTGAAGATTTAAAATTTGAGAAGATCAAAATAACTAATAGTGTAAATTAGTTAAAATC